AGAATGGGGCTGGGTGATTGAAAGAGGGAGAATGGGGCGGGGTGATGGAAAGCGGGAGAATGGGGCGGGGTGATGGAAAGCAGGAGAATGGGGAGGAGTGATGGAAAGCGGGAGAATGGGGCGGGGTGATGGAAAGCGGGAGAATGGGGCGGGGTGATGGAAAGCGGGAGAATGGGGCGAGGTGATGGAAAGCGGGAGAATGGGACGGGGTGATGGAAAGCGGGAGAATTGGGTGGGGTGATGGATAGAGGGAGAATGGGGCGGGGTGATGGAAAGCAGGAGAATGGGGCGCGGTGATGGAATGCTGGAGAATGGGGCGGGGTGATGGAAAGTGGGAGAACGGGGCGGGGTGATGGGAAGCGGGAGAATGGGGGCGGGGTGATGGAAAGCGGGAGAAAGGGGCGCGGTGATGGAAAGCGGGAGAATGGGGCGGGGTGATGGAAAGAGGCGGGAGAATGGGGTGGGGAGATGGAAAGCGGGAGAATGGGGCGGGGTGATGGAAAGAGGGAGAATGGGGCGGGGTGATGGAAAGTGGGAGAATGGGGCGGGGTGATGGGAAGCAGGAGAACGGGGCGGGATGATGGAAAGAGGGAGAATGGGGAGGGGTGATGGAAAGCGGGAGAATGGGGAGGGGTGATGGAAAGCGGGAGAATGGGGCGGGGTGATGCCAAGCGGGAGAATGGGGCGGGGTGATGGAAAGCGGGAGAATGGGGCGGGGTGATGGAAAGCGGGAGAATGGGGCGGGGTGATGGAAAGCGGGAGAATGGGGCGGGGTGATGGAAAGCGGGAGAATAGGGCGGGGTGATGGAAAGAGGGAGAATAGGGAGGGGTGATGGAAAGAGAGAGAATAGGGCGGGGTGATGGAAAGCAGGAGAATGGAGCGGGGTGATGGAAAGAGGGAGAATGGGACGGGGTGATGGAAAGCGGGAGAATGGGGCAGGGTGATGAAAAGCGGGAGAATAAGGCGGGGTGATGGAAAGCGAGAGAATGGGGCGGGGTGATGGAATGAGGGAGAATGGGGCGGGGTGATGGAAAGCAGGAGAATGGGGCGGGGTGATGGAAAGCGGGAAAATGGGGCGGGGTGATGGAAAGCGGGAGAACGGGGCGGGGTGATGGAAAGCGAGAGAATGGGGCTGGGTGATTGAAAGAGGGAGAATGGGGCGGGGTGATGGAAAGCGGGAGAATGGGGCGGGGTGATGGAAAGCAGGAGAATGGGGAGGAGTGATGGAAAGCGGGAGAATGGGGCGGGGTGATGGAAAGCGGGAGAATGGGGCGGGGTGATGGAAAGCGGGAGAATGGGGCGAGGTGATGGAAAGCGGGAGAATGGGACGGGGTGATGGAAAGCGGGAGAATTGGGTGGGGTGATGGATAGAGGGAGAATGGGGAAGGGTGATGGAAAGAGGGAGAATGGGGCGGGGTGATGGAAAGCTGGAGAATGGGGCGGGGTGATGGAAAGCGGGAGAATGGGGCGGGGTGATGGAAAGCGGGAGAATGGGGCGAGGTGATGGAAAGAGGCGAAAGAATGGGGCGGGGTGAAGGAAAGCAGGAGAATGGGGCGGGTGATCGAAAGAGGGAGAATGGGGCGGGGTGATGGAAAGCGGGAGAATGGGTCGGGTTGATGGAAAGCGGGAGAATGGGGCGGGGTGATGGAAAGTTGGAGAATGGGGCGGGGTGATGGAAAGCGGGAGAATGGGGCGGGGTGATGGAAAGCGGGAGAATGGGGCGGAGTGATGGAAAGCGGGAGAATGGGGCGGGGTGATGGAAAGAGGCGAGAGAATGGGGCGGGGTGATGGAAATCGGGAGAATGGGGCGGGGTGATGGAAAGAGGGAGAATGGGGCGGGGTGATAGAAAGAGGTAGAATGGGGCAGAGTGATGGAAAGCGAGAGAATGGGGCAGGGTGATGAAAACCGGGAGAATGGGGCGGGGTGATGGAAACCGGGAGAATGGGGCGGGGTGATGGAAAGCGGGAGAATGGGGCGGGGTGATGGAAAGCGGGAGAATGGGGCGGGGTGATGGAAAGCGGGAGAATGGGGCGGGGTGATGGAAAGAGGGAGAATGGGGCGGGGTGATGGAAAGAGGGAGAATGGGGCGGGGTGATGGAAAGCAGAAGAATGGGGCGCGGTGATGGAAAGCGGGAGAATGGGGCGGGGTGATGGAAAGTGGGAGAACGGGGCGGGGTGATGGCAAGCGGGAGAATGGGGGCGGGGTGATGGAAAGCGGGAGAATGGGGCGCGGTGATTAAAAGAGGCGGGAGAATGGGGCGGGGTGATGGAAAGCAGGAGAATGGGGTGGGGAGATGGAAAGCGGGAGAATGGGGCGGGGTGATGGAAAGAGGGAGAATGGGGCGGGGTGATGGAAAGCGGGAGAATGGGGCGGGGTGATGGAAAGCAGGAGAATGGGGCGGGGTGATGGAAAGAGGGAGAATGGGGAGGGGTGATGGAAAGCGGGAGAATGGGGCGGGGTCATGGAAAGCGGGAGAATGGGGCGGGGTGATGCAAAGCAGGAGAATGGGGCGGGTTGATGGAAAGCGGGAGAATGGGGCGGGATGATGGAAAGCGGAAGAATGGGGCGGGGTGATGGAAAGCGGGAGAATGGGGCGGGGTGATGGAAAGAGGGAGAATGGGGCGGAATGATGGAAAGCGGGAGAATGGGGCGGGGTGATGGAAAGCGGGAGAGTGGAAAGGGGTGATGGAACGCGGGAAAATGGGGCGGGGTGATAGAAAGCGGGAGAATGGGGCGGGGTGATGGAAAGAGGGAGAATGGGGCGGGGTGATGGAATGCGGGAGAATGGGGCAAGGTGATGGAAAGCGGGAGAATGGGGCGGGGTGATGGAAAGAGGGAGAATGGGGCGGGGTGATGGAAAGAGGGAGAATGAGGCGGGGTGATAGAAAGAGGGAGAATGGGGCGGGGTGATGGAAAGAGGTAGAATGGGGCAGAGTGATGGAAAACGAGAGAATGGGGCGGGGTGATGGAAAGCGAGAGAATGGGGCGGGGTGATGGAAAGCGGGAGAATGGGACGGGGTGATGGAAAGAGGGAGAATGGGGCCGGGTGATGGAAAGCGGGAGAATAGGGCGGGGTGATGGAAAGCGGGAGAATGGGGCGGGATGATGGAAAACGGGGGAATGGGGCGGGGTGATGGAAAGCGGGAGAGATTCTGCTCAACTGCATCGACTGTGGGATGGGATGATGAGACTGGTGGTTGAAACCTGGTGATTGGTAATTAACGTGTTATTTCCAGACGTCTCAAAGTAACTCTTTCATCACGTGGCTGGTGAGATGAAAGTAACTCTTTCATCAGATGGTGAGATGAAAGTTATTATTCGTCAGATGGTGAGATGAAAGTAACTCTTTGAACAGGTGGTGAGATGAAAGTAACTCTTCCATCAGATGGTGAGATGAAAGTAACTCTTTCGTCAGATAGTGAGATGAAAGTTATTATTCATCAGATGGTGAGATGAAAGTAACTCTTTCATCAGATGGTGAGATGAAAGTAACTCTTTCATCAGATGGTGAGATGAAAGTAACTCTTTCATCAGATTGTGAGATGGAAGTTATTATTCATCAGATGGTGAGATGAAAGTAACTCTTTCATCAGATGGTGAGATGAAAGTAACTTTTTCATCAGATGGTGAGATGAAAGTAGCTCTTTCATCAGATGGTGAGATGAAAGTACCTCTTTCATCAGATGCTGAGATGAAAGTACCTCTTTCATCAGATGGTGAGATGAAAGTAACTCTTTCATCAAATGGTGAGATGAAAGTACCTCTTTCATCAGATGGTGAGATGAAAGTAACTATTTCATCAGATGGTGAGATGAAAATACCTCTTTCATCAGATGGTGAGATAAAAGCAACTCTTTCATCAGATGGTGAGATGAAAGTACCTCTTTCATGAGATGGTGAGATGAAAGTAATTCTTTCATCAGATGGTGAGATGAAAGTACCTCTTTCATCAGATGGTGAGATGAAAGTACCTCTTTCATCAGATGGTGAGATGAAAGCAACTCTTTCATCAGATGGTGAGATGAAAGCAACTCTTTCTTCAGATGGTGAGATGAAAGTAACTCTTTCATCAGATGGTGAGATGAAAGCAACTCTTTCATCAGATGGTGAGATGAAAGTAACTCTTTCATCAGATGGTGAGATGAAAGTACCTCTTTTATCAGATGGTGAGATCAAAGTAACTCTTTCATCAGATGGTGAGATGAAAGCAACTCTTTCATCAGATGGTGAGATGAAAGTACCTCTTTCATCAGATGGTGAGATGAAAGTAATTCTTTCATCAGATGGTGAGATGAAAGTACCTCTTTCATCAGATGGTGAGATGAAAGCAACTCTTTCATCAGATGGTGAGATGAAAGTACCTCTTTCATCAGATGGTGATATGAAAGTAATTCTTTCATCAGATGGTGAGATGAAAGTACCTCTTTCATCAGATGGTGAGATGAAAGCAACTCTTTCATCAGATGGTGAGATGAAAGCAACTCTTTCTTCAGATGGTGAGATGAAAGTAACTCTTTCATCAGATGGTGAGATGAAAGTACCTCTTTCATCAGATGGTGAGATGAAAGTACCTCTTTCATCAAATGGTGAGATGAAAGTACCTCTTTCATCAGATGGTGAGATGAAAGTAACTCTTTCATCAGATGGTGAGATGAAAGCAACTCTTTCATCAGATGGTGAGATGAAAGTACCTCTTTCATCAGATGGTGAGATGAAAGTACCTCTTTCATCAGATGGTGAGATGAAAGTAACTCTTTCATCAGATGGTGAGATGAAAGTAACTTTTTCATCAGATGGTGAGATGAAAGTAGCTCTTTCATCAGATGGTGAGATGAAAGTACCTCTTTCATCAGATGCTGAGATGAAAGTACCTCTTTCATCAGATGGTGAGATGAAAGTAACTCTTTCATCAAATGGTGAGATGAAAGTACCTCTTTCATCAGATGGTGAGATGAAAGTAACTATTTCATCAGATGGTGAGATGAAAATACCTCTTTCATCAGATGGTGAGATAAAAGCAACTCTTTCATCAGATGGTGAGATGAAAGTACCTCTTTCATGAGATGGTGAGATGAAAGTAATTCTTTCATCAGATGGTGAGATGAAAGTACCTCTTTCATCAGATGGTGAGATGAAAGTACCTCTTTCATCAGATGGTGAGATGAAAGCAACTCTTTCATCAGATGGTGAGATGAAAGCAACTCTTTCTTCAGATGGTGAGATGAAAGTAACTCTTTCATCAGATGGTGAGATGAAAGCAACTCTTTCATCAGATGGTGAGATGAAAGTAACTCTTTCATCAGATGGTGAGATGAAAGTACCTCTTTCATCAGATGGTGAGATGAAAGCAACTCTTTCATCAGATGGTGAGATGAAAGCAACTCTTTCTTCAGATGGTGAGATGAAAGTAACTCTTTCATCAGATGGTGAGATGAAAGCAACTCTTTCATCAGATGGTGAGATGAAAGTAACTCTTTCATCAGATGGTGAGATGAAAGTAACTCTTTCATCAGATGGTGAGATGAAAGTAACTTTTTCATCAGATGGTGAGATGAAAGTAGCTCTTTCATCAGATGGTGAGATGAAAGTACCTCTTTCATCAGATGCTGAGATGAAAGTACCTCTTTCATCAGATGGTGAGATGAAAGTAACTCTTTCATCAAATGGTGAGATGAAAGTACCTCTTTCATCAGATGGTGAGATGAAAGTAACTATTTCATCAGATGGTGAGATGAAAATACCTCTTTCATCAGATGGTGAGATAAAAGCAACTCTTTCATCAGATGGTGAGATGAAAGTACCTCTTTCATGAGATGGTGAGATGAAAGTAATTCTTTCATCAGATGGTGAGATGAAAGTACCTCTTTCATCAGATGGTGAGATGAAAGTACCTCTTTCATCAGATGGTGAGATGAAAGCAACTCTTTCATCAGATGGTGAGATGAAAGCAACTCTTTCTTCAGATGGTGAGATGAAAGTAACTCTTTCATCAGATGGTGAGATGAAAGCAACTCTTTCATCAGATGGTGAGATGAAAGTAACTCTTTCATCAGATGGTGAGATGAAAGTACCTCTTTTATCAGATGGTGAGATCAAAGTAACTCTTTCATCAGATGGTGAGATGAAAGCAACTCTTTCATCAGATGGTGAGATGAAAGTACCTCTTTCATCAGATGGTGAGATGAAAGTAATTCTTTCATCAGATGGTGAGATGAAAGTACCTCTTTCATCAGATGGTGAGATGAAAGCAACTCTTTCATCAGATGGTGAGATGAAAGTACCTCTTTCATCAGATGGTGATATGAAAGTAATTCTTTCATCAGATGGTGAGATGAAAGTACCTCTTTCATCAGATGGTGAGATGAAAGCAACTCTTTCATCAGATGGTGAGATGAAAGCAACTCTTTCTTCAGATGGTGAGATGAAAGTAACTCTTTCATCAGATGGTGAGATGAAAGTACCTCTTTCATCAGATGGTGAGATGAAAGTACCTCTTTCATCAAATGGTGAGATGAAAGTACCTCTTTCATCAGATGGTGAGATGAAAGTAACTCTTTCATCAGATGGTGAGATGAAAGCAACTCTTTCATCAGATGGTGAGATGAAAGTACCTCTTTCATCAGATGGTGAGATGAAAGTACCTCTTTCATCAGATGGTGAGATGAAAGTAACTCTTTTATCAGATGGTGAGATGAAAGTACCTCTTTCATCAGATGGTGAGATGAAAGTAATTCTTTCATTAGATAGTGAGATGAAAGTACCTCTTTTATCAGATGGTGAGATGAAAGTAACTCTTTCATCAGATGGTGAGATGAAAGTAACTCTTTCATCAGATGGTGAGATGAAAGTAACTCTTTCATCAGATGGTGAGATGAAGGTTGTTATTCATCAGATGGTGAGATGAAAGTACCTCTTTCATCAGATGGTGAGATGAAAGTAACTCTTTCATCAGATGGTGAGATGAAAGTACCTCTTTCATCAGATGGTGAGATGAAAGTACCTCTGTCATCAGATGGTGAGATGAAAGTACCTCTGTCATCACGTGCCTGGTGTCCTCCGATCCGCAGTGAGTTTCCCTGTCATCGCCAGTGTGGGGCACGGGCTCATTTTCCTCATGTACTTTCCCCCCTTCCCCCTCCTCCCTCTGCTGGTCAGGGCCAAGGCTTTCGACCTTGACCTGGTGGGCCTGGTGTCGTCAAGCCCTCAAGCCTTCAAGCCTTCAAGCCCTCAAGCCCTCAAGCCCTAAAGCCTTCAAGCCTTCAAGCCTTCAAGCCTTCAAGCCTTCAAGAATTCAAGCCTTCAAGCCCTCAAGCTTTCAAGCCCTCAAGCCCTCAAGCCCTCAAGCCCTCAAGCCCTCAAGCCCTCAAGCCCTCACGCCCTCACCCCCTAACTCCCTCAAGCCCTCACGCCCTCAAGCCCTCAAGCCTTCAAGCCTTCAAGCCCTCAAGCCCTCAAGCCCTCAATCCTTCAAGCCCTCGAGCCCTCAAGCCCTCAAGCCCTCAAGCCCTCAAGCCTTCAAGCCTTCAAGCCTTCAAGCCTTCAAGCCTTCACGCCCTCAAGCCCTCAAGCCCTCAAGCCCTCAAGCCCTCAAGCCCTCAAGCCTTCAAGCCTTCAAGCCTTCAAGCCTTCAAGCCCTCAAGCCCTCAAGCCCTGAAGCCCTCAAGCATTCAAGCCTTCAAGCCTTCAAGCCTTCAAGCCCTCAACCCATCAAGCCTTCAAGCCCTCAAGCCCTCAAGCCCTCAAGCCCTCAAGCCCTTAAGCACTCAAGCCCTCAAGCCTTCAAGCCTTCAAGCCTTCAAGCCTTCAAGCCTTCAAGTCCTCAAGCCCTCAAGCCCTCAAGCCTTCAAGCCCTCAAGCCCTCAAGCCTTCAAGCCTTCAAGCCTTCAAGCCTTCAAGCCTTCAGGCCCTCAAGCCCTCAAGCCTTCAAGCCCTCAAGCCCTCAAGCCCTCAAGCCTTCAAGCCTTCAAGCCTTCAAGCCTTCAAGCCCTCAAGCCATCAAGCCTTCAAGCCCTCAAGCCCTCAAGCCCTCAAGCCCTCAAGCCCTTAAGCACTCAAGCCCTCAAGCCTTCAAGCCTTCAAGCCTTCAAGCCTTGAAGCCTTCAAGTCCTCAAGCCCTCAAGCCCTCAAGCCTTCAAGCCCTCAAGCCCTCAAGCCTTCAAGCCTTCAAGCCTTCAAGCCTTCAAGCCCTCAAGCCTTCAACCCTCAAGCCTTCAAGCCCTCAAGCTCTCAAGCCCTCAAGCCTTCAAGCCTTCAAGCCCTCAAGCCCTCAAGCCCTCAAGCCCTCAAGCCCTCAAGCCTTCAAGCCCTCAAGCCTTCAGGCCTTCAAGCCCTCAAGGCCCCATTCTCCCGCTTTCCATCACCCCGCCCCATTCTCCCGCTTTCCATCACCCCTCCCCATTCTCCCGCTTTCTATCACCCCGCTCCATTCTCCCGCTTTCCATCAACCCGCCCCATTCTCCCGCTTTTTATCACCCCGCCCCATTCTCCCTCTTTCCTTCACCCCGCCCCATTCTCCCGCTTCCCATCACCCCGTCCCGTTCTCCCTCTTCCCATCACCCCGCCCCATTCTCCCGCTTTCGATCACCCCACCCCATTCTCCCGCTTTTTATCACCCCGCCCCATTCTCCCGCTTTCCTTCACCCCGCCCCATTCCCCGGCTTCCCATCACCCTGCCCCATTCTCCCTCTTCCCATCACCCCACCCATTCTCCCGCTTTCCATCACCCCGCCCCATTCTCCCGCTTTCCATCACCGCGCCCCATTCTCCCCCATCACCCCACCCCATTCTCCTGCTTTCCATCACCCCGCCCCATTCTACCTCTTTCCATCACCCTGCCCCATTCTCCCGCTTTCCATCACCCCGCCCCATTCTCCCGCTTTCCATCACCCCGCCCCATTCTCCCTCTTTCCATCATCCCGGCCCATTCTCTCGCTTTCAATCACCCCGCCCCATTCTCCCTCTTTCCAACACCCCGCCTTATTCTCCCTCTTTCCATCACCCCGCCCCATTCTCCCGCTTTCCATCACCCCGCCCCATTCTCCCGGTTTCTATCACCCCGCTCCATTCTCCCGCTTTCCATCACCTCGCCCCATTCTCCCGCTTTCCATTACCCCGCCCTATTCTCCCGCTTTCCATCAACCCGCCCATTCTCCTGCTTTCCATCACCCCGCCCCATTCTCCCGCTTCCATCACCCCGCCCCATTCTCCCGCTTTCCATCACCCCGCCCCATTCTCCCTCTTTCCATCACCCCGCCCCATTCTCCCTCTTTCCTTCACCCCGCCCCATTCTCCCGCTTCCCATCACCCCGCCCCGTTCTCCCTCTTCCCATCACCCCGCCCCATTCTCCCGCTTTCGATCACCCCGCCCAATTCTCCCGCTTTCCATCACCCCGCCCTATTCTCCCGCTTTCATTCACCCCGCCCCATTCCTCCGCTTCCCATCACCCCGGCCCATTCGCCCTCTTCCCCTCACCCCGCCTCATTCTCCCGCTTTCCATCACCCCGCCCCATTCTCCTGCTTTCCATCACCCCGCCCCATTCTCCCTCTTTCCATCACCCCACCCCATTCTCCTGCTTTCCATCACCCCACCCCATTCTCCCTCTTTCCATCACCCCGCCCCATTCTCCCGCTTTCCATCACCCCGCCCCATTCTCCCGCTTTCCATCACCCCGCCCCATTCTCCCGCTTTCCATCACCCCGCCCTATTCTCCCGCTTTCCATCACCCCGCCCCATTCTCCCGCTTTCCATCACCCCGCCCCATTCTCCCGCTTTCCATCACCCCGCCCCATTCTCCCACTTTCCATCACCCCGCCCCATTCTCCTGCTTTCCATCACCCCGCCCCATTCTCCCTCTTTCCATCACCCCACCCCATTCTCCTGCTTTCCATCACCCCGCCCCATTCTCCCTCTTTCCATCACCCCGCCCCATTCTCCCGCTTTCCATCATCCCGCCCCATTCTCCCGCTTTCCATCACCCCGCCCCATTCTCCCGCTTTCCATCACCCCGCCCCATTCTCCTTCTTTCCATCACCCCGCCCCATTCTCCCGCTTTCCATCACCCTGCCCTATTCTCCCGCTTTCCATCACCCGGCCCCATTCTCCCTCCTTCCATCACCCCGCCCCATTCTCCCTCCTTCCATCACCCCGCCCCATTCTCCCGCTTTCCATCACCCCGCCCCATTCTCCCGCTTCCCATAACCCCACCCCATTCTCCCGCTTTCCATCACCCCGCCACATTCTCCCGCTTTCCATCACCCCGGCCCATTCTCCTTCCTTCCATCACCCCGCCCCATTCTCCCGCCCCATTCTCCCGCTTTCCATCAGCCCGCCCCATTCTCCCGCTTTCCATCACCCCGCCCCATTCTCCCGCTTTCCATCACCCCGCCCCATTCTCCCGCTTTCCATCACCCCGCCCCCTTCTCCCTCCTTCCACCACCCCGCCCCATTCTCCCTCATTCCATCACCTTGCCCCATTCTCCCGCTTTCCATCAGCCCGCCCCATTCTCCCGCTTTCCATCAACCCGCTCCTTTCTCCCGCTTTCCATCTCCCCGCCCCATTCTCCCGCTTTCCATCACCCAGCCCCATTCTCCTGCTTTCCATCACCCCGCCCCATCTTCGCGCTTTCCATCACCCTGCCCCAATCTCCCGCTTTCCATCACCCTGCCCCAATCTTCCGCTTTCCATCACCCCGCCCCATTCTCCCTCCTTCCATCACCCCGCCCCATTCTCCCGCTTTCCATCACCCCGCCCCATTCTCCCGCTTTCCATCACCCCGCCCCATTTTCCCGCTTTCCACCACCCCGCCCCATTCTCCCGCTTTCCATCACCCCGCCCCATTCTCCCTCCTTCCATCACCCCGCCCCATTCTCCCGCTTTCCATCATCCCGCCCCATTCTCCCTCCTTCCATCACCCCGCCCCATTCGCCCTCCTTCCATCACCCCGCCCCATTCTCCCGCTTTCCATCACCTCGCCCCATTCTCCCGCTTTCCATCACCCCGCCCCATTCTCCCTCCTTCCATCACCCCGCCCCATTCTCCCGCTTTCCATCATCCCGCCCCATTCTCCCTCCTTCCATCACCCCGCCCCATTCTCCCTCCTTCCATCACCCCGCCCCATTCTCCCGCTTTCCATCACCCCGCCCCATTCTCCCGCTTCCCATAACCCCACCCCACTCTCCCGCTTTCCATCACCCCGCCACATTCTCCGGCTTTCCATCACCCCGTCCCATTCTCCTTCCTTCCATCACCCCGCCCCATTCTCCCTCCTTCCATCACCCCGCCCCATTCTCCCGCTTTCCATCAGCCCGCCCCATTCTCCCACTTTCCATCACCCCGCCCCATTCTCCCGCTTTCCATCACCCCGCCCCATTCTCCTGCTTTCCATCACCCCGCCCCATTCTCCCGCTTTCCATCACCCCGCCCCCTTCTCCCTCCTTCCAACACCCCGCTCCATTCTCCCTCCTTCCATCACCCCGCCCCATTCTCCCGCTTTCCATCACCCCGCCCCATTCTCCCGCTTTCCATCACCCCGCCCCCTTCTCCCTCCTTCCATCACCCCACCCCATTCTCCCTCCTTCCATCACCCCGCCCCATTCTCCCGCTTTCCATCATCCCGCCCCATTCTCCCGCTTTCCGTCACCCCGCCCCATTTTCCCGCTTTCCATCACCCTGCCCCAATCTCCCGCTTTCCATCACCCTGCCCCAGTCTTCCGCTTTCCATCACCCCGCCCCATTCTCCCTCCTTCCATCACCCCGCCCCATTCTCCCGCTTTCCATCACCTCGCCCCATTCTCCCGCTTTCCATCACCCCGCCCCATTCTCCCGCTTTCCATCACCCGGCCCCATTCTCCCGCTTTCCATCACCCCGCCCCATTCTCCCTCCTTCCATCACCCCGCCCCATTCTCCCGCTTTCCATCACCCCGCCCCATTCTCCAGCTTCCCATAACCCCACCCCATTCTCCCGCTTTCCATCACCCCGCCACATTCTCCGGCTTTCCATCACCCCGTCCCATTCTCCTTCCTTCCATCACCCCGCCCCATTCTCCCTCCTTCCATCACCCCGCCCCATTCTCCCGCTTTCCATCACCCCGCCCCCTTCTCCCTCCTTCCATCACCCCACCCCATTCTTCCTCCTTCCATCACCCCGCCCCATTCTCCCGCTTTCCATCATCCCGCCCCATTCTCCCGCTTTCCATCACCCCGCCCCATTTTCCTGCTTTCCATCATCCTGCCCCAATCTCCCGCTTTCCATCACCCTGCCCCAATCTTCCGCTTTCCATCACCCCGCCCCATTCTCCCTCCTTCCATCACCCCGCCCCATTCTCCCGCTTTCCATCACCCCGCCCCATTCTCCCGCTTTCCATCACCCCGCCCCATTCTCCCGCTTTCCATCACCCCGCCCCATTCTCCCGCTTTCCATCACCCCGCCCCATTCTCCCTCCTTCCATCACCCCGCCCCATTCTCCCGCTTTCCATCACCCCGCCCCATTCTCCAGCTTCCCTTAACCCCACCCCATTCTCCCGCTTTCCATCACCCCGCCACATTCTCCGGCTTTCCATCACCCCGTCCCATTCTCCTTCCTTCCATCACCCCGCCCCATTCTCCCTCCTTCCATCACCCCGCCCCATTCTCCCGCTTTCCATCACCCCGCCCCATTCTCCCGCTTTCCATCACCCCGCCCCATTCTCCCGCTTTCCATCACCCCGCCCCCTTCTCCCTCCTTCCATCACCCCGCCCCATTCTCCCTCCTTCCATCACCCCGCCCCATTCTCCCGCTTTCCATCACCCCGCCCCATTCTCCCGCTTTCCATCACCCCGCCCCATTCTCCCGCTTTCCATCACCCTGCCCCATTCTCCCGCTTTCCATCAGCCCGCCCCATTCTCCCTCCTTCCATCACCCCGCCCCATTCTCCCGCTTTCCATCACCCCGCCCCATTCTCCCGCTTCCCATAACCCCACCCCATTCTCCCGCTTTCCATCACCCCGCCACATTCTCCGGCTTTCCATCACCCGGTCCCATTCTCCTTCCTTCCATCACCCCGCCCCATTCTCCCTCCTTCCATCGCCCCGCCCCATTCTCCCGCTTTCCATCAGCCCGCCCCATTCTCCCACTTTCCATCACCCCGCCCCATTCACCCGCTTTCCATCACCCCGCCCCATTCTCCCGCTTTCCATCACCCCGCCCCATTCTCCCGCTTTCCATCACCCCGCCCCCTTCTCCCTCCTTCCATCACCCCGCCCCATTCTCCCTCCTTCCATCACCCCGCCCCATTCTCCCGCTTTCCGTCAGCCCGCCCTTTCTCCCGCTTTCCATCACCCCTCCCCTTTCTCCCGCTTTCCATCACCTCGCCCCATTCTCCCGCTTTCCATCACCCCGCCCCATTCTCCCGCTTTCCATCACCCCGCCCCATTCTTCCGCTTCCCATTATCCCGCCCCATTCCCCCGCTTTCCATCACCCCTCCCTATTCTCCCTCCTTCCATCACCCTGCCCTATTCTCTCGCTTTCCATCACCCCGCCCCATTCTCCCGCTTTCCATCATGCCGCCCCTTTCTCCCGCTTTCCATCACCCCGCCCCATTCTCCCTCCTTCCATCACCCCGCCCCATTCTCCCGCTTTCCATCACCCCGCCCCATTCTCCTTTCTTCCATCACCCCGCCCCATTCTCCCTCATTCCATTACCCCGCCCCATTTTCCCGCTTTCCATCACCCCGCCCCATTCTCCCGCTTCCCATAACCCCGCCCCATTCTCCCGCTTTCCATCACCCCGCCCCCTTCTCTCTCCTTCCATCACCCCGCCCCATTCTCCTTCCTTCCATCACCCCGCCCCATTCTCCCGCTTTCCATCAGCCCGCCCCATTCTCCCGCTTTCCATCACCCCGCCCCTTTCTCCCGCTTTCCATCTCCCCGCCCCATTCTCCCGCTTTCCATCACCCCGCCCCATTCTCCCGCTTTCCATCACCCCGCCCCATTCTTCCGCTTCCCATCATCCCGCCCCATTCCACCGCTTTCCATCACCCCTCCCCATTCTCCCTCCTTCCATCACCCCGCCCCATTCTTCCGCTTTCCATCACCCCGCCCCATTCTCCCGCTTTCCATCACCTCGCCCCATTCTTCCGCTTTCCATCACCCCGCCCCATTCTTTTGCTTTCCATCACCCCGCCCCATTCTCCCGCATTCCATAGCCCTGCCCCATTCACCCGCTTTCCATCACCCCGCCCCATTCTCCCGCTTTCCATCACACCGCCCCATTCTCCCGCTTTCCATCACCCGCCCCATTCTCCCGCTTTCCATCACCCCGCCCCCATTCTCCCGCTTTCCATCACCCCGCCCCATTCTGCCGCTCTTCCATCACTCCGACCCATTCTCCCGCTTTCCATCACCCAGACCCATTCTCCCACTTTCCATCACCCCGCCCCATTCTCCCTCCTTCCATCACCCTGCCTCATTCTCCCTCCTTCCATCACCCCGCCCCATTCTTCTCCCGCTTTCCATCACCTCGCCCCCATTCTCCCCGCTTTCCATCACCCAGCCCCATTCTCCCGCTTTCCATCACCCCGCCCCATTTTCCCGCTTTCCATCACCCCGCCCCATTCTCCCGCTCCATCCCCCTGCCCAATCTCCCGCTTTCCATCACCCCTGCCCCATCTCCCGCTTTCCATCACCCCGCCC